ACAATATCAATTCATAAAGAAGTGAATACTAAATTTTATGACTTTTTCAAGCACTAGAGAACAGACTCAAAGAGTTGAGTTTAGCCCCAGTTGTGTCAAAGCTGGTGTCTAACAGCTGGCAGCGCACTGCCAATCTGTCTAAAGATGGACGCAAATCAGCAACTTACAGCAGAAAGGATGGGCAACAATACCACTGGGAGCTGAGACGCCAAGAGGCCAACATAAGAAATGGCCACTGAAAAAGGGAACAAGTGAGGAAAGAAGGGAGGGAGAAAACAGCCGGATTAAAAAGGGTAGATAAGGAAGAAGGGAAGGTTGTGATTATAGGGCATTTCTCAGAAAGACACCATGAAATAAGGGCTAAGTCCTGTGTGGCTGAACCCCACAGAGGGCACAGATGATGGCAAAAGACAGGGGCTGCAGGAACTAGGGACTTAACATTTGGGATTTATGCAGGGGGTGTCACTGAAACTAGTTTTGTTTTTGTTTTTTTTCCTGTGAGACAAGAGTCTCACTCTGTTGCCCAGGCTGGAGTGCAGTGTCATGATGTCGGCTCACTGCAACCTGCGTCTTCCAGGTTCAAGCGATTCTCAAGGCAGTCTCCCGAGCAGCTGGGATTATAGGTGTGTGCCACCGCGCCTGGCTAATTTTTCTATTTTTAGTAGAGATGGGGTTTCACCATGTTGGTCAGGCTGGTCTCGAACTCCTAGCCTCAAGTGATTCGCCTGTCCCAAAGTGCTGGGATTACAGGCATTAGCCACTGTGCCCAGCCTGAAAGTTTTTAAGCAAGAAAATAAGTGATCAAATTTGTGCTATTAAAAATAATTCTTATTGCTGGGCGCGGTGGCTCAAGCCTGTAATCCCAGCACTTCGGGGGCTGAGGCGGACGGATCATGAGGTCAGGAGATGGAGACCATCCTGGCTAACATGGTGAAACCCCATCTCTACTAAAAATACAAAAAAATTAGCCAGGTGTAGGTGGTGCATGCCTGTAGTCCCAGCTACTTGGGAGGCT